TGGATGACCTTAAAGGTCTTTTCCAACCTAAACGATTCTATCTCTCCAGACTTGCAAAGATGGAAAATGGTCTGTAATTCAGTCATCAGTCTCTCGTGCCTGCTCCCCTCTCCCCTCTAATGTCCCTAACCCATCCTTCTTAACAGTTCCCTCTCACCCTGGGTATCCCTCCTGAAGTTGTGCGGTCCCCCACTGAATGAATTATAATGCTGTGTCCGTGTCCTGTAGGCCCATTACAGACACTTCTGTGAGGTGTTCAGATTGAAGAGATGTTTCTCAGAAGACTAAAGGACCAGAAGTGATTTCGTCAACTGATCATTTGAAGATGAAGATTTATTTGTGTTTTTAATGATTTGTATACATACCATAGATATTTCTCACCTTATTTATTACTTAAGAAAAAAAAAAGGCTGGAGAAACATCTAAGAACATCTTCACAAGTCTGTGTCACTTAGCTATGGCTATTCCTCTTCCCTTGAGTTACTTGTTTTTTCTGTCAGTGGCACTGACATAGGACTTAAGCACAGGACAGCAAATTCTAAAAGCAGACTAAACCTTAACTAGGGTAATCTTTAAAAACATCCATTGGACTTTAAACCTAGCAGCATTAGCAAAGCAGGGACAGATTTTCTCATCCTCGGCTGGTCTCTCTAGGACATTACACTTTAATACAGCATTCAGCTAGAAAACATCTCAGTACATTTGAAGCAAAAATGCAGCCTAGAGCATTCACAGGAAGAAAAATCCAAAGCAGCACACTTTGGACTATACGCAAGACTGTTACAAAAAAAAAAAAAAAATTAAACATAACAAATTAAAAAAATTGCATTTTTAAGTCAGGGTACAGCACATAGATCAAGTCCACCACTGTTGAAGGAGACTTTGTGCAGGAACTGCTGTCGCAGTTCCTGCAGCATTACAGACTGAATGGCAGTGCGATAACCCACAGAAGACCTGTCCTTATGGTTGTAGAAACAGTTTTTACTTTTTTTAAAGGGTAACTAGGAACATAAACATTTTCCACAACCCCATACATTTTCCAGCCGAGCTCAATAAATTAAAGAAAAATAATGCTTTTTTTCCAAAAGCATTTAGCCCTCTTTATTGCCAAATATTACTGGTTATCATTACTCAGATTTATAACAGACTGTTGTTAGAAGTCATTAGCATGCATTTCCAGCAATGTGTGGCAAAGGTTACACTGCTGCAGGCAAGACATTATCAAATGTAACCCTATTCTCCCTATCCATAAACAATAACAAAAAAAACCCACCACAAAAAAAATGAAGGTAAATAAGTTGCATTTATGTTAAAAAGAAAAAAAAGGGACAAAGAATAACATGATGTAGATTTCTGGAAGCCTATTACTCCCTTTTATAAACTAAAAAATCCCCCCAGTTTTCTTAAAGAAATATAAATACTGCTGATGAAAATATAATGAAAGACCTGTAAAAAGTCTACAAAAGAGCTTGCTCTCGATGCCAAGAGTTACTCCGGGTGTAGCTTTTGTTTCCTCCTCAAAAATTCTTCATTTGAAGCGAAGTTAACCTTTTTCTAATTCTCATGTCCTAGGTTTATACTTTTCACAAAGCAGCTGATAATGAGTCTTCAAAAGCCCAAGAGGAAAGTACTAAAACAAAAAGCAGCACAAGAAACGCCTCAAAACAAAATTAATCAGCACAAAGGGGAGAAATCGGAAACCACAGGATTTCTGAACAAAGCCATGCCCTAGGGTTGTACAGCAGCGCTGTACAATTGAGGGAAAGGAAGAAAGAAAAGTTATCTTAAGTTCCATATTACTGCAAAATAAATGCTTTACAGGATGCTGCTTGTAGGGTAGAGATGTCTGAGATTTTCCTGCAGCAGCTATGACCATGGTTTCTAAGATCAAACAGCCATGGGCATACTCAACAGGAGCCTGAATTATGACTGACTAAGATTAAAAGAAAAGATAAACTAAAAAATGTTAATGGCGTATATATTGACAAAACCAGCTCACAAACACCCATAAAATCTCTCTGGGAACTCACTTGGAGCCTGATGGCATGTTCATGTTTCCTCTTCATGTCATTTATATGCCATGCCACTCTCTGCATTGTATCTATGGCATCCAGCACCACATCATAGCCCTCAGTGTCCTTGTCAAGGTGGTTTTCTATTTCCTAAGACAGGAGGGAAAAAAAGTCCTGTTATTGCTAAATGAATTTTCCCAGCCAGACACAATACTGTCTTTATCTGTACTATTTTGTCTCTGCATTGCAATCACTCAAATGCAATGTTCCTGCCTTTGTTACTATTGCATGTTGTAATCAATTTGATTAACACAAGATGACTAACAAAGCCAAGCCTTTACGGTCAGTTTAGCAGCGACTATACTTGCAGCAGCCAATGTGAGCAGAGAGGCACAGAAAGAGAGCACAGCACACTGACAGGAGACCTTTTCAGACAACATTTAGTGGCTTTCTTAAAACGCAGAACATATCTACACACTTACAAAACGCGGATGGAATTACACTAGGCATTACTTTACAGTTGGAGAGCAGAAAAGCACCAGACATTTTAAATAAGGATCAGTGTCTTTACACTTCACTAGAACATGATTCTCTAATAGGAAACATATGTGGAAAACATTAACAATAAAGCAGGAATTTCCGAAACTTACTTAACTCAATTCCACTGAATATGGAAAGAGTTCCCACTTCCTCCATCACTCCTCTCTACAAAATTCTTACCAATCGGTGTGTTCATATGTATTTAGTCCTTCTTTCAACCACCCCCAGCATTGCAACATGTGGAAAAATGCTGTTTTTCATTGGAACAATAAATTTTTGTACAAAAGTGTTTAATCATGACAAGAATCTTCCAAACAACTTCAGAATTACAGACCAGTTTTTTTTAAAAAAGGTTATTATTTGGATGCACAGACTGATTCAATGTGTCTAAACCAATTACCATTAATTCCCCACTCCATATATAAGCATACGCTGTGAAGTGACAAAGACAGAAACAGTCTCCATATGTAGAAATCAAACATCCCCAAAAGAAAGAGCATTTAAGGAAACTCAGAACCTTTCTAACCATCAAGCCATGTATCAGAGGCAGGAACTTTGATGTGTAGCAGCCCTGAAACTAAATACATTTCTAATGGGTGCTTACGTGCAAAAGCAGGTGGTACTTGAGGATGCGCTGGACAGGTTTCAAGAGGTAGGAGCCTAGGGGCAGAGAATGCTGCAGCGCTTCTTGCCGCTCTCTGAAGAATTTGGCCAGTGCCTTGTTCCTCATGCACTCTGTCAACACAGCCACCGACCTGGAAACATCAATACATAACTTTAAGTCACGTTGTCTCCATAAGTCTGTAGGTAAAGTCAAAAATTGTTTCTTTTGTGCCTCATAAAAGGGGGCAGCAGGTTCCTAATCCAATCACTGCTGTTCCTGTTGGGTTTTTTTTAAGTTATCTTGTGCATTCAGTTACGTTTTCCATTGACATGCAACCACTCTCCTACTGGGAATTAGATATTTGGAGCACTGCAGAATAAGGCCACCATTTTCTAAAGGGTGATAATAGCAAAGAATGACAAGAACAGTCAAAGCAAAACTTTAGATGTGGGGGGGGTTTTTTTGTTTGTTTGTTTTTTGGGTTTTTTTTTTTTTTTTTACAAAAAAGGTAAACTCCTTGACCCATCTTCCAATCTGGAAGGGGGAGAAGATGATTTTTTGTATAGACCGTAACTTGCATTACATAAACTGGCCAAGGGACAAAGGAAGAAAGGGAACCCAGAATTCCTACCTTGGGTAGTTGGTGCAGTACTGTGTATATATGTGGAAATCTTCACTCTGCATGGGGAGGAAAGATTTATACACGTTTAGATTTTGTCAAACTAGCAGCTAACACATGTGCAAGATAAAGACGATGACATCAAGACAACCCTCCTCCAGTTCCTGATCAATGAATTCTGTACTTTCACTGTGATAGTCCTAACACTACCAGAGACCTATTAAATGAGTTTCATTTTCTGAGGGGAGATTTTTCCTTTATTTGAAGGAAAAAACAAGGAAACATACAAAGAGATAAAACAAGTGGCTTTGCAACAGAGCCTCCTAGGTCCTTTATGACCATCCATGCATCATAACAACCCCACCACCACACACCCCCCTTCAAACAGCTGACTTGCACATACATATTTTTTTGTGTGCTAAAGCACACACCTGGTTACTGGTAGAAGAAAGTTTTGCAGGTTATGTTCAGTGTGTGATTTTCAAACAACTAGAAATACTTTCACCTTTGAGCACAGTCTAAGCGTGAAAATTAGAAGACACAAAAGTGATTTTGGGGATTTTTTTTTTTTTAGTAAATTAGGACTCTGTGAAAGCAGACAGTTATTACCCAAACAAGCTGTAACTAGATTTAGGTGGGTTTCCACACTTGCCTGTCACAGTGAAACTGCTCACACTTAATGCTGACAAGCTTCTCAGAGCAAAAGCCTGAGTTTCATTTCTTTCCTCCTTGGCCTAAGATTTTTTTTCCTTAATTATCATCATTTAATTCTATGCAAGAACAGGTTTCCAGAAACATTCCCATGTGCTTTAAGTTCACATCTGCCTATCAACTTCCATCCCAAATAACAGGCAACTCTGCAGCTTGCTGGAGACTTAAAGACTAGGGAAAGCACCGCAGAATGGCAAAGCGCTCCCAAAATGAATTGCTTTTTCTTTCCTGAGCTCTAGACTGATAAAAAGCAATCCTCTGGCAGTAAACAAGACCCCAGTTTCCACTTCAAGCATCTTCAGAGCAGACTCTGGCATTCTGCAGCACAATAGACGTGCTCCACGAGGGGTGGTCTCCTGGGGGTAGTCACTGGTGAATGGCAAGACCAAATATCTGCCTTCACAGAAGGCAACAGTGCTCCAAGGAGCAACTCCACTTGAGGAGACGGCTGACGCAGGCTGCGGCTTTTGTTTCTCATTGTTGGGTTTCTGGGTTTTTTTGGCTGTTCATCAGAAAGAGCCAACTCAGGCAATACCCTTTCCCATTTCCAAAAGCACTGCTCCCTTCCCTCTCTCGCAGGGGTAAAGTACGTTGTGCCATTCATTTCTCCACTGAGCAGTCATTCATAAGGACCCCATATAAAGTAAGATGCTGCTCCACATCAGTACGAGTCATTGCCAATTCATTTCAGTATTTCTTACTGGATTTCAGTATTAACTGTCCTGAAAAAAATAAGTAACTCGAGCAAACTTCTAATAAATGTTTCTCTAGGGGACTGCGATCCCCATTTACTCACTAGTGGGCTGTAAGCTTATTAAACCGCTCTT